GCGGGGGGGGGGGGGGGGACAATTTTTTCTCATTTCAGATTTCAGAGAATAAAATGAAAATTTCTTCAAATGTTTTTTTTTTTAAGTGGGGTAAAAATTGTTGTTTTTTTTTTGGGGGGGGGGGGGGGGGGGGCAATTCGCAACAGCATAGTGTATTGCACAAAAGCAAAAAAATTGAATATAAATTCAAATCATATAACCAATTCTAAGTTCTTTGACTACAGTTATTCTGAGACGGAAACCTATTATGTGTCAAATATTCAATTAATTACAATCCAAATTCAGACCTGTTTCAAGCGCGAATATTGTGTCTATTTTTGCCCCATCTGTTCAGGGTTGGACCTCTGCGGTCGTATCTAGCTGCGCTCGGCGAAGCAATTTATTTTTTTAGGTAATGTTTGAGTTTGTGTACACTCATTTGTTTATGTCATTTAGTAATTATGCTATTATAAGAACACATTACTATATATTATTAACTAATGTGTGTTTTCATAATGGCCCTGTTATGTGTCCAAGGTCTGTTATAATGGTCAAGATGCCTGTAATGGCATGAGGCAGCACCAAAGAACACTACAGCCTCTGAGGCTATTATTACTGACCGAGGACAAAGATCAGGGTCAATTTGAAAACACCCATTTCTTAACACTTTTATTAACCAAACTATACATGTCAATATGTAATATATTTAACCAAGCCAAATCAGTTTTTTTGTGGAGAAATTGTATATTTATAATTATACCAAATGCAATATTAAAATAAACTTTTAAAGTCAGATATGATGGAATAACATATGTAAATGTAAATATAGTTTTATTGTTGTCCTATTCAAAGCAATTTATGATATACAAAATATATAAGATTTCATTCTGGATTTTAAAACTAAAAATTTAATAAATTGATAGACATCATGGAATGTATTATGACGTAATTATTAACTTGACAACTGGGTCAAATAAGATAAGTGGGGATTCTTGGGAACTTTCAATTTCTTGATGTTTCTTTTCTCCAAAAATGTATTTGAATTCATTACAACTGAAAATCCATAATAGCCTTGATTATTCGTAATGGCCCTGTTCATTTATAATAGCCCTGTTTATTCATAATGGCCCTTTATCAATGCCATGTTAGTCTGTTATGGACCTGTTTTGCTTTTTGTCTCGTCTTGATGGAGTCAAAATGCGAGACATAGGTATGCTGTTTCCGGCGGCGTCAGCGTCAACAATGTATTAGTTTGTGATTAGGTCTAGTTTAAGGTGAACCACTAGTGGTTGGTCAATGATATTTGGTATGCAGTTGTATTAGCACTGGCACATCTCATTTCCATGGAGATTATTTGGCCCTGCCCCCTCAGTCATGGTCTATTGACTTTGAAACTTTTGCTTAGTTTACATGTATTGGTTTGTGATTAGGTCAGTTTATGGAGAACTGCTAGTGGTAAGTCAATGATATTTGGCATGCAGTTGTATAAGCATTGGCATATCTCATTTCCATGGAGATTATATGGCTCCGTCCCCTCAGTCATGGTCTATTGACTTTAAAACTTTTGCTTAGTTTACATGTATTAGTTTGTGATTAGGTCAGTTCAAGGAGAATCACTAGTGGTAAGTCAATGATATTTGGCATGCAGTTGTATTAGCATTGGCATATCTCATTTCCATGGAGATTATTTGGCTTCGCCCCCCCAGTCATGGTCTATTGACTTTAAAACTTTTGCTTAGTTTACATGTATTAGTTTGTGATTAGGTCAGTTCAAGGGGAACCACTAGTGGTAAGTCAATGATATTTGGCATGCAGTTGTATTAGCATTGGTATAACTCATTTCCATGGAGATTATTTGGCTCCGCTTTCTCAGTCATGGTCTATTGACTTTAAAACTTTTGCTTAGTTCACATGTATTAGTTTGTGATTAGGTCAGTTCAAGGGGAACCACTAGTGGTAAGTCAATGATATTTGGTATGCAGTTGTATAAGTATTCAGGGCTCGACAATAACCCTTGTCCGATTGTCCAGTACCAGAGGAAAAAAAGGTCGGACAAGTAGAAGCCATATCAAGCTTGTCCGACGGGACAAGTAAAATTTTTCTGTAGAAAATAAATTAAATCCAACTTTGATGATCAAAGTAATAAACAAAAAACAAGAAAAGAAGATAAAAACAAATATTAATTTAACATGTTTACTTGCATCCATAATTTAAAAACTTTGTAGATAAGGTAACAAGACAGTTTGGCACCTTCAGGGAAAAGAATAGGCTCCATGTTTAATAGACAGTTCGGCACCGTTGGAGACATTTCAGGGACCAAGGCAAACCAGTACCTAGTTTTCCTACCTTATTCTGTTGCTTTATAATAAATATATGATAAATTTTATTTAACAAAAGTATTTTTAAAATAAAAATGACCATAAAATTCATAAAATCATATTTGATCATATTTAGACAAAACAATATTTGCATGATTGTGTTTGAATAAACATTTTAATATATCAAAATCAAAGCTGATTGTAGTAAGGCATTAATCATAATAATCAATATTTTATCAACTTAAAAGACCAGGATACAAACCAAATGAGTGTAGACTGACAGGCCTACCAGACTGTGCCTGCTTTGGCATTGATGAAAACTAGAACCTAAGTCCTGTGACTAGACATGACTAGATTCAGTTGTTCTTGACTCATATTTATGAAAAGGATATCAAGAGATATAAATCAAATTCTGTTCTACTGTTTTAATTTATTTAGTTCATTGAATCAACCTAAAATGCAAAAAAGGTTAATATAAAGGTTTTTTTTTTTTTTTTGGACAAGTTGCAATTCCATTCAGACAAGTAAGTTTTGGTACATATTGGGCAAGTTGAAAAAAAAGTTATTGTAGAGGCCTGGCATTGGCATATCTCATTTCCATGGAGAATATTTGGTCCTGCCCCCGCAGTCATGGTCTATTGACTTTGAAACTTTTGCTTAGTTTATATATATTAGTTTGTGATTAGGTGATTTCAAGGGGAACCATTAGTGGTAGGCCAATGTTAATTGGTATGCAATTGTATAAGCATTATCACATCTCATTTCCATGGAGAATATTTGGTCCAGCCCCCTCAGTCATGGTCTATTGACTTTGAAACGTTTGCTTAGTTTACATGTATTAGTTTGTGATTAGATCAGTGGCATTTGCAAGTCTCGTTTCCATGGAGATTATAAAGCCCCACCCCCTCATCATGGTTCATTGACTTTGAAACTTTTACATAGTTTAATTACAAGTCAATGTTTGTGTTTAGGTTTGTTGAAAGGGAACGACTTGTGATAAGTCTATGGTATTTGGTATGCAGTTGTATTAGCATTGACAAACCTCATTTCCATGGAGATTGTTTTCCCATGTACCTTCAGTCATGGTTCATTGACTTTGAATATTTGCATAACTTACATGTTAAAGTATTGCTATTTTAATTTCAACATTTGCATTATCAAAAGTACAAAAAGGCAAGACATATCTCTGTGTTAACAGTTTATATTAATAAAGGGACAGTTTCATACATAATGCACTAAACTGTTATTTGTGTTTTCTTCTGGGAAATATACTATTAATGTTGAACAATGTGATGTACCCTGTTGTCATTAGGTAATTATACTATATGTGTTATGAACACTTTTTGTTATGCTAACTAAAGGTTTATATATAAAATATACCTTTAGTTATATACAAGTCTAAATTGAAAACAACGTTCAAACCTATGATTGTGTTGGATAAAAACCGCAATTTTTATACGTGTGCATGCAAAACAAATTTCTTGTTAGAGGGGTCTAAATACAGCACAAACAACATTTTCCAAAAAACCAAAAAAGTGAAAAAGTATATTTTAACAAAACGCATTTGACTAACAGGTCGAACAACAAATGTTCTTAAACCCTGCTGACTGCCATTGGCGATTGCCAAATAAACGGATCACAAGGTGTAATAAATGGATCTTAACTATATATATGTTCTCTATGATAACTTTTTGTAATAAGTTCAGATTGATTGCTGCCAGAATAATTTCTATCTTCCAATTATCTGAAATACTTGATCTTTCCAAACTTAACATGAATAATGATAAGAAGTGCATTTACAAAGCTACTAGTTCATTTTAGTTGACATACTTTACCTAAATAAGGTCAATTGAGTTTCATCTAAACAATATCTTATGTACTTATGAGATATCTTGTATAACTGATAAGATATCCTAGCTTTTTCTTTTTTAGTCATGGCGTTGTCAGTTTATTACTTATGAGTTTGAATGTCCCTCTGGTATCTGTCGCCTCTCTTTTGTAATTTTAGAAGATTAGATTTTCTCATGTTTAAGACTTGGAAATTTGTATATGTTGATCCTGAGACTACTATAACACATGTGTTATAGTAGTCTCAGGTTGATCTATTATATAAAATGTTTTATTTGAAAAAAAGTAATAAGATATCTTATATCCAACTTTATAAAATTATTTTTAAGGAAAATTTTATATAAGATATCTCATAAACTTTATAAGATATATAAGTGAGTTTATGAGCTATCTTCTATGATTTATAAGATATTCAGCATATTTGCTAGATATTTTATTATCTGTGGTCTAAATTAAATTAATATATGTCGTATATGATGACAAATGATACTGATTCAGGTGAGTCTAAATTTGCTCACCAAACTTCATGCATCTTGACCACATTCTTCTAGTTTGCTATGTCAGAATCTGAAGTATTCTGGATCATATTTACCATAGCATACACTACATTCTGATTGGTTGATAACTTTTAAAACAATAGTTAATCAGCTGATGATTTGACATTATTTTTCTTTTGTTGTGCAAACAATGAAATCACCACAGTGGTCTTGATTCTGAGACGACAAGTCATGTGTGATACTTTTGTCTGTTGTTCAAGGTTAATAAGACACATATTATATATGAAGCCCTTATGAAAGTTGTGAAATTTATTTTACTTGATTTTATTTCAATATGTTCATGCAATTTATTTGACAGCTGTAATTCATGTGTAACTGGGGGACAGTGCAGTTGGTGTCTGAAAACATGTAAAAGGAGTACAACACAGTGTCAAAAATATGTAAATGTAAGTTTTGTATCACCAAATATTGCATTACAAATTTTCATTTAAATGGCCTTTGTTTCATTTATGCGTTTATCATGATTATTCTGTAATAACCTTTTATACGACCGCAAAAAAATTTTGCGGTCGTATATTGGTATGACGTTGGCGGCGTCGTTGTTGTCGTCCGAAGACACATTAGTTTTCGCACTCTAACTTTAGTTTAAGTGAATGGATCTCTATGAAATTTTACCATAAGGTTTAATACCACAAAAGGAAGGTTGGGATTGATTTTGGGGGTTATGGTACCAACTGTTAAGTAATTAGGGGCCAAAAAGGGGCCAAAAATAAGCATTTTTGTAACTTCCAGACATAACTTGTGTGTTAGTGTATGGATCTCTCTGACATTGTACCACAAGGTTCCATATCACAAAGGGAATGCTGGGATTGATTTTGGGGGTAATTGCCTCAAAATTTTAGGAATTAGTAGCCAAAAAAGGGGCAAAAATCAAGCATTTTTCTAGTTTCATGACCATCACTTGTGTGTAAGTGTATGGATCTTTCTGAAATTGTACTACAAGGTTCCATATCACAAAGGAAAAGCTGGAATTGAGTTTGGGGGTAATTGCCCAAAACGTTTAGGAATAAGGGGCCAAAAAGGGGCCAAAAATAAGCATTTTTCTAGTTTCCAGACAATAACTTGTGTTCAAGTGTATGGATCTCTCTGAAATTGTACTGCAAGGTACCATACCACAAAGGGAAGGCTGGGATTGATTTGGAGGGTAATTGCCTCAAAATTTTAGGAATTAGGGGCCAAAAAAACAAGCATTTTTCTAGTTTCCAGACAATAACTTGTGTTCAAGTGTATGGATCTCTCTGAAATTGTACTGCAAGGTAACATACCACAAAGGGAAGGCTAGGATTGAGTTTGGGGTGATGAATCATAAGGGGGTTCAAAAAATTAGGGGGGGGATTTTTTTTTCCTTTTTTTCCTTTTTTTTCTTTAAAATTTTCCATTTGAAATTGGTTATTTCTGATTTATATATAAAAGCAAATAATAATGATATGGTTTGAATAGGTAAATTAAAATTTTTTAAGTTCTTTGACCACATTCATTCTGTGTCAGAAACCTATACTGTGTCAAATATTTAATAACAATCCAAATTCAGTGCTGTATCAAGCTTGAATGTTGTGTCCATACTTGCCCCAACTGTTCAGGGTTCGACCTCTGCGGTCGTATCAAGCTGCTCCCAGCGGAGCATTTTATTGTCCATGCTAGAGGGATACACTTTAAACAGCAAGATAAGTCCATTGTTGAGCCAGACAAATCGATCCTACATTTCTTTGTCATCATTGTCTACATTTTTGTTAAGTATGTTGTTAAAGATTTTTTTAAGACATCATGACTGTGTCAATCCTTCATGGAAAATTATAACATGGACAGAAGATTTTTCATGATCAAAAGACAGCATTCAAGTCAAAATCTTGAATTATATGACTGAAAAATTAGCTTAATTTTTGGCATTTAACATTTTGATACATAGAAAGGTTAAAGTTTTTTGGACATCAATAACTTTCATAGAATTTTTCAAAACTTGCACATTCATTACCACCATGATGAAAATACAGTATCCAGAGCAAATTTTGATATATTTTTTTCTTTTCAGTATTTTAATGATAGAAGGAATTTTTTACAATTGATATTTACATAGTTTGTTGTTATTTAAATTTTGTAGACATGCATAACTTTTTTAAGCCTACAAGATTGTTAGGAAACTTGGACAGAAGCTATCTCTTGATAAAGAATTAGCATCTGAAGTTTGATTCCCACCCTGTATTATATCTAATAAATGGACTTAGTTTTTGGCAGTCAACATTACACTCTTACACTGACAGCAGTAATTGCAGGCAAGACACAGAAGCCTTTACATTATTTTTATATTTTGGCTTAAACCTTAAAAATGATAATATATATAGAGAAAAATATGAAAAGTAAGCAAAAGTGGTATGATTGCCTGAATTGGAGGCATAAACAAGCCACCAGAGATCAAATGAAGTGGAAGTAAGCATCTAAAGGTCACCCTATAGCCTTCAACAAAGTGAGCAAAAGCCATACAATATAGTAAGCTATGAAAGGCCCCAACATGACAAGATGTAAAACAGTTCAAACAAGAAAACCAATTGAAAAATTTATGATAAATCAAAGAAAATCAAACAAGACAGACAAGAAGTTGACAAAGCAATGATGACCAGCAAGATATGATCTAATCATAGGTCAACATGACTAAAATGCCAATTAACTCCTCAGTATAAAGACTAATTTCCCTTTGAAGACTATTCTTACACATTGTTTCCATTCTTGTGTTTGCCTGACACCATCAAGCTGTGGCTAGAAAAATGGTAATTTGCAAAACCTTGGAAGCAGGTCAAGACAGAATTCAATCAAACTTAAAATTGAGAATGGAAATGGGGAATGTGTCAAAGAGACAACAACCCGACCATAGAGCAGACAACAGCCGAAGGCCACCAATGGGTCTTCAATGCAGCAAGAAACTCCCGCTCCCAGAGGTGTCCTTCAGCTGGCCCCTAAACAAATATGTATACTAGTTCAGTGATAATGGACGTCATACTAAACTCCAAATTATACACAAGAAACTAAAATTAAAAATGATACAAGACTAACAAAGGCCAGAGGCTCCTGACTTGGGACAGGCGCAAAAATGGGTCGGGGTTAAACATGTTTTTTGAGATCTCAACCCTCCCCCTATACCTCTAGCCAATGTAGAAAAAACAAACGTACAACAGTACGCACAGTAAAACTCAGTTTAAGAGAAGTCCGAGTCCGATGTCAGAATAGGAAACAAAAGAAAATAAACAAAATGACAATAATACATAAATGAACAAAGGACTACTAGCAGTTACTGACATGCCAGCTCCAGACCTCTATTAAACTGATTGAAAGATTATGTCTTCATCATATGAAAATCAAGTACAATCCCTCCCGTTATATAGGGGTTTAGTATCATACCATCATAAAATATATGAGAAGAACATAACCTGTATCATGCCAACAACTGTTTTTTTTTAAATAAATGTGTTTAATTCCGATGCAAAGACCCTATAAGTGAATCAATATTAAAGCCAAAATATGCAATCTTTAATGACCTGACAACAGTATCGTAATTATATCCCTTCTTAATAAGTCTGTTTAAAGGTTTTGTTAGCTTTTGAGGTGAATACTGACATTTTTGTGCTTTGTAAAGAATATTACCATAAAAGATTGGATGTGAAATACCTGAATGTATAAGATGTCTGCATGTTGAGTTATATTTACGAATGATGTCCTTATACCGATGATAAAATTTAGTAAATGTTTTGACTAGTTTATGATATCGAAAACCCTGGTGTAATAATTTTTCAGTAATACATAAGATGGTGACAAGGGAACATCATCATCTAAAAATGGATAATTAATGATAGGAAATGAAAAATCATCTCTTTTATCATAGATTTTTGTATTAAACTTCCCGTTCATGATATAAATATCAAGATCGAGGAAAGGACAGTGGTCATTGTTAGTATTAGCTTTATTTAAAGTAAGTTCAACAGGATAAATTTCTTTAGTATACATACTGAAGTCGTCATTATTGAGAGCCAATATATCATCCAAATATCTAAAAGTGTTGTTAAATTTTTGTATCAGATGTTGTTTCGATGGGTCTTTGCTGATTTTAGTGATAAATTGTAACTCATAACAATACAAAAACAGGTCCGCAATAAGTGGTGCACAGTTAGTCCCCATTGGAATTCCGATAACTTGACGAAGTAAAAATTCAAGGGCAGATATAGTATCAAAGCATGTCCAATTGACATAGCTCTTTTGTTTGTTGCTACTAAAAAATGGCCTAAAAGAGTTTGAACATATGTATTTGCATTCCGACTTTTTAAATGCCCATTTAATTAGGTGTGTGAATTTTTTCTTAATAAGAATATGAGGCAAAGTGGTATATAGGGTAGAAAAATCAAAACTTTGAACAGTTTCAAAATCACCAATATATGCATGCAATTTATCAAGTATTTCCAACGAGTTTTTGACACTCCAAAAGTAGTTAATTCCACTATTTTCAAAGGCCTTATTTGAACAATTTATTATCAGGTTTTTGATTGTACCAAGTGTACTAGTAAGTAGAATAGACAATTCAGTAGTGGAACAATGACTTGAAGACGAAATAAATCTATATTTGTAAGGTGATTTGTGTAGCTTCGGAAGCCAGTACATAGTTGGGACTTTCATTGTATTTGGTTCTGCTTGTAAAGAAGTAGCTAATAGTTTATGTTTGTTACAGATATCGTTTTCTGAAAATGAAGTCAGTTGGAATGTTGGTGAATTCGTGATTTCCTTTTGCAGAACCTCTATGTAAAATTTACGTCAAACTATAATGATATTATTAGCAGCTTTATTAGCCGGGACAAAAACAAATTCCTGAGAAATAGGATTTTTATGGTTGTTGTTAAGAGTAAAATGTTCTTTAAAATGTTGTATACGTATATCAACTATCTTCATTACTGAATTAAAAAAAGTGTCCAAAGATTTTTTGTCAGCTTTTTCCTGTTTTATCCATTTCAAACAGTAAGCACGAAGTGAGTTGTGGATGATATTACGACACTCATTCCAATTAATAATTGACGGGGGAAGATATTTAGGTCCTTTACTGAGGAACGATTTTAACTCTCGGTCGCGAACGATGTTAAGGTCTCCTGTTATAACATGGGAAATGGGGCCATAAGTGTATTGGTGTATAAGTATAATTACTACAATTACATGACGGAGGTGTATTTTCACTGATATTTACATCTTTACAGACTTGGCTATAATTAAACACAAATTTTCTTAACAATCCTCTAAAATTTTATTTAATTTATTTATAGGTAAAGAACAGAGCTTGGTTAATAGATAATGTCTGCCGTTGTTTTTTGAAATAGAAATTAGTCCGAAATATTCTTTGATTGCGATTTTTTCTACGCCCATGAGAACGGTTTTTACGAACAGTTTTAGAAACTATATCCAAAATGTTAACAGAATCGGTTCTTGATATATTACCAATTCCCATGATATTATCATTTAGACCGAGAGTGTAGACTGTCTGTAATTTTTTAATCCAATTTAATTCAATTATTTTCCGTGATCGTACAAACTTTGAATGAGATTCACCAGGCTGCTTATTTACTACTTCTAAAGGTTGAACTGTTAAATATTTAATAGGATGATTGTGCTTTTTAAGATGTTGATAAATGATACTTTTGAATTTATTGGGTCTTTTAAAACGATACAGGTGTTCTTGCGTGCGTTTAGATAAATATCGTCCAGTTTCACCTACGTACTGAATACCGCACCCCGGTTTGTTTCATGTGAGTAAATAAATAATACTGTTTGTTTTTCAAGTTATATCAGTTTCAAAATTTAAAGAAAATGTGCGACCATTAAACGTAGACCTTACCATATTGTTGGTGGAAAGACGGGGACATGTAAGTCATTTTTTGGCATGACACTTATCAAAAGAAGGGTAACCATGATTTTTATTGTTAAAAATGTTAGCGATGGTAGTATTTTTAGATAAGCGATTTTGAAGATTGAGACGTGTAGATACCCTTTGAACGAGTTTAGTATTTAATATTTTTCCATTTCTAAGCTTCATATTTGTTTTTTGTTATGTGGATTTTATTAGAAAGGAGCAAAGACTGGCGTCCAGAATATGAACCAGCACACAATGAATTGAATTATGTGAATATGATAAAACATATCGGCTAAAGACGTCAAACGCTATCCGTCATAAATTACCCGAAAAATAAAACAAAAGATAGGGTATATCAGGGTAGCGACTGACTTCTGACTAAATAGAAGAATGGGGCTGAATGTGAAAAACTACTTTTTGATATATATTCCTAAAGTAATGAACATAGAGAAGTTCTCGCTCGGACACACACTCCATAATCTAGTATATTGCATAGATTCTTCCATAGGACATGCAATTGTGCACTTGCTATTTAAATTTTTTATCTATTATTATTATAAATGATTTTAGATGTTTCCCATACCAAATCATAAACTTAGCCATTTCTTTTTATATAAATAAAAATTTAAAGATAAGGAGATGTGGTATGATTGCCAATGAAACAATTATCCACCAGAATCCAAACAGCATAAATGTAGCAACTATAGGTCAATGTACTCATTGTAAGGCCTTCAACAATGAGAAAAACCCATACCATATAGGCATCTATCAAAGGCCTTGACATGACAAAATGTGAAACAATTTAAAAGAGTAAACCATCGTCAAGATTTATGAAAAAAGAATGAATTTAATTTTTTTTTAGTATTAATGCAATTGGAATTGCTGTAATTTATTAAGATTGTGATGTATAAAAAATCAAAAATATCTTGGCTATAAATGTTTCATAAAATGTTATGTAAATTTCTTGAAGGAAACAGACAAATGTCCAAGGATAACAAGTACTAAAGTACTGATCCATCAGAAAAATTCCAATGGAAAAGATGATACTGAAGATATAAGTGTAGGGATAGCAGGTACAGAGGTTTTTGTAAGTATATTTTTACATTAGATGGTATAATCTCTGTAAAATTGTAGTCTGCATGTATTTACCAGATTTGATTTTGATGATAGCTTGTATTTATGCCTTACAATGGTACAATTAACCAAAAACTATAAAAGTAGACCTGTTAGTCATAGTAAAGGAGAAACTTAGCTAAACACAAAAACTTTACATTGATCATTGAACAGTCAAAGAGGTCAAAGTCGAGGTATTCATGTCAGGCAGATATACTCACTGTACAGTCATTCCATAGGCTTATGTATAGTTGATTTATAACTCATCTTCAAGTAATAAAGGGATAAATTGAGTCAAATGCAAAAGATTAATTGTCACTTTAGTAAATAATATGAACTATGACAATGAGATCAAGGTTAATTGCTGTTTGCCAGACTGAGACTTCTGACTATAAACCATTCAAGGGCATATGTCTACTATCATGACTTTATTGAAAGAGGGTTGCTATTGAACCAAGGGCTCCAAATGGTAAAGTTTAAGTCATTCTTTTGAAAGTTTTATGGATTCTATTATGATTGGATTGGCCTTCATGAAATATCTGAGTCACAGATAACAAGGATATTTCCATTTGTAGCATCAATTCCTGCTTAACCTTCTGGAGTTCCTGATTTAACCACCATCACCACCAATTTTGTGGTGGGTTGGTATGTCTTTGTATATTATAGTATTCTGTTCTGTGGACTGGTTTTTCATTTTGTCCATCATTACCAGGTATTGTCTGTTTTTCTTCCACTTGCAGTTTTTGATTGCCCAATGGTTATTTTCGCCCCTTTTTTTAATTCAGAAAAAATATGGCTTGTCTAGCTGTTCCCCAATTTGAAATGATGCATTCCAAGTTAGTGCCCTTAAGTTGCTGCTATGTCCACATGAAACATGTTTAGTGCATTCTACATATTTTTTTACAGACAAGACTATAACAGTTTTATAATTGTTTTCAGTGAATATTTCTTATGTGCCTTATAAAAGCCAGCTCACAGAGAATATTCTAAGTTGTACTTATTCACAATACTTTGGATTCATTTACTTTTGTGAGATGACATTTTCCTTGGAATTCTTGTGGATAGGAGTGTAAAACACTAGCTTTTAATAGTCAATGAAATACAAATCTGAAGTTACTTTTAAAAATAGGAACTTAATGATAAAACCTTGAAATTAGGTTCCTTCATTTAGATTTTTTTTTCTCCATCCACAAAAATTGATGGAAAAAAATAAAAACAGAATAAATCCAGAATGGTTAATTAGAATCTACATCATGCTTTTTAAAATGTGGATACATGCTAATGCACAAAAACCATGTCATGTTTTTGGGTTACACTTTAACAATCATTGTGCAAAACAGACTTTGTAAATAAGTGGCTTAACATATTTGATGAAAGCAATTGCACATCAATATTTTCTAAAAGAAAAACATTTTAGTGGGCACTTTGTACAATTTTAATGCAAAATGATTAAATGCAATCTGTTCTGTTTTTTCAAATGAGGAAATATTTCATGTCACTAAACATAAAATGGTTCCTTGATATTTTCTCAGTTTTAAAGAATATTCTAAACATTTCCATATTTTCAATCATATGTATTTCCAAATAAATATCATGATTATAGTTCCCTGTGAATTCCCGAGATTTTGCATTTAGCTCCAGTATTTACATTAAATACAGTACATAAATGGTTTTGGTTCAGTTTTGTTTTATGGTCCAGAAATATGCCTTCTTATATCTATCAACTTCTAATCAATTAGGGATAATCTTTTGTCAGTTGGCTAGGTTATATAAGTTTTCAAGGGGGAAAAAAGGACAACTATCCATTTGTTTATAAATATTTATCTAGAATTTTTAACATAAAAAATGCCTCCTTTTACTGCATGTATTTGTAAATATATCTTTGCTAGATTTAAAAAGATTTCAAAATTGCCATAGATAAGTTAATATTATGTATGCATTTAAGGCAGTAGTGTAATCTGTACATATTGGTTTTCATGTTGATCATAATTTTCATATTTTATAAATACATCTGTACAAAATTATTTAAAGGGTGCAAGCAAAGATATGCTGAAGTGTGTAGTTGGAATGGACTCATATAATGTTAAAGACTTTAAGGATGAACATGTTGTTTGTGAAAAAGTTAAGGTGAGTCGAATAAATAAATAGTATATATCTTTACTTAAATATTTATACATGTCAATTTTATGCCCAGCCTTCAATTGTAGGGGAGAATTGTGTTTCCTCTGTCCCTTTTGTCTATCTTGTATCAGTGTAGAATTTTTGGCTATGTAGTTACCATTTAGATATTAGATCATCACATCAACTGGAAACTAAGTAAAAGGTCACATGCAAATATGATGTCAACTTTTTAAATTATATGCCAAATTCCATTTTCTGTAAGCATGGAAATGTGATAATGTGAAACTAGTACATTCTTTGGTTGAATTGTTAGGAAAGGTAGTTTTCTATGATTTGTGGTGAAATCAACTTGAATTTCAGACCACATGTACATTATTATGTGAACTTTTTATGCCCCACCTACGGGCAATATATTTTTTGTTCTGTGAGTACGTTCATTCGTTCGTCTGTTCGTCCGTCCGTCCCACTTCAGGTAAAGTTTTTGGTCAAGGTAGTTTTTGATGAAGTTGAAGTCCAATCAACTTGAAACTTAGTACACATGTTCCCTATGACATGATCTTTCTAATTATGATGCCAAATTATAGTTTTGACCCCAATTTCATGGTCCACTGAACATAGAAAATAATAGTGCAAGTGGGGCATCTGTGTACTATGGACACCTTCTTGCTACTTTATATTCCACATTAAGGTTTTGCCCCTGATTTCACAGTTAAATGAACAAAGATTGATAGTGCAAGTGGGGCTTATGGACACATACACTTTTTTGCCAACCTTACTGATGATCAACAACGGTTTTTTCAGAGGCAGTCTGCACCTGTTATGATAAGAAATTTTAGCTCACTTGGACCAAAGGTTCATGTAAATTGTTGTCATTTTTATGCTTATTATGAATGACTGCTAATTAATACAGGTTTGACTCTGTCTCAAAAACTAAAGAAAAAATTTAAATGGATAAAAATTATCAGCAGTTCAATTTCTATCAACCCTGAAATTTGCAGAAAATTCAAATTACCAAATTTGGAGTTATTGCCCTTGAAATGTCTATTTTTAGCAGATTTGGCAGATTTGGCTGTTGACCTATGTAAAAAATGTTTATTGTAGAAATTATCAGATGGAAAAAATCTATCTACATGTACCATGAAAATTTGAGAAAAATTTGACCACCTATATGACGAAATAGTTCCTGAAATGTCAATTTTAGCTAGTGTTGCTTTTGAGTATCTCAAAAGCATAGACACAAAAAGAATAGATACAAATAACTGATACAAGAGTGCTTGCAGTTACTGAAAGCTAGTGCAAAGCCAATTACAACAAATAAATAAATCATGTTCTCCCAGACTAAAGAATCAATCAGTACACATCCAATAGATTAGTGCAACAACGTCATAAACTGTCTGAGAAATGCATGACCTTTTGCAATGCCAAAATATAAGTAAACAGTATGAAAAAGATGAAGGATCAGGAGTACTCCTACGTGTATATTTAGTTATGTTAAATTTTTCAATAGCAAAATCAATCTTAGTACCGATAAAAACAATATTTATAGAATTTACTACTGTGTTAAATTGATAACCGTTGAGAATAAGTTTATTCAAAGGATCAATGCGTTTACATTTATCCTATCTAAATAAACAGGCTCTATAAACAATATATTCTTAAAATTTGGTTGTGATATCCAGTTTTTAATTTGAATTCTAACACTGGTTCAGCCAAATTTCCAGACTAAATGCTTTTCTGGAATTTAAATTTTATATTATAATATATATACTGGTACTAATGTCATCAATTTTAATGATTTTGACCAAATTAATTAAATTATGATGTTCACAAAATATTGTTGAAATTGTTATTCTTCATCATATTCATTTAAAGAATTTCTTTTCACTATTTTCAGGTTCCCAGTGGGTCCACTGACAACAAATTGTACTTGAAATATAATGAAACAAAACTGGACAATAGTGTTGCTTTAGAGGGTAAGTAAGGTTGGCTTCATGTCTCCACCAAAAGTTCTTATTTTTTTCTTTGATTAAACAAACTTATGGCCAGGATGCTTAAAGTACAAAACAGGGTGATACTGAAAAGTGGGAATTTCTTTTGGAGAAGATTTTTTTTCCTCTAGTTTCACAATTAAGACATAATGGTAAGAATTTTACCTCACATAGATTTGATCAACTGAAACTTTTCATTTGTCTGATAATCCTGCATAGGCAAAGTAACAAACCACAGAAAGAACAATACACTGAACAGAGAAAAACCATGTCACGCTGTGTTGAAGACCCATTGGTGACCATGGAGTGTTTTCCTATCTTTGGTCAGCTTGTTGTCTCTTAGACACATTCCCTGTTTCCATTCTCAATTTTATTATACCAAATGCACATTTAAGCAGGTCTAATTATGCACATAAGAAACTTTCAATTTATATATAAATATTTTAAAATTCAACAGAATTGTTATTCAAAATCCACAAAACTTTTACTCTACTGTTGTCATGATTTCTAAAATAAGATTCTGTCAGCAGCTAGCCAGTGATGAGTTGTAACATATATTGGCTTTTGGGAGCTGTCAGACACCTGCTATATAAAAATAAGTAGATTTGGTATGCTGGTCAATGAGACAACTATCAACCAGAGTTCAAATGAAGTGGACGTGAGCAATTATACGCCACTGTACTGCCTTCAACAACAAGAAAAACCAATACCGTAAAGTCTGCTATATATTAGGTTAGTTTAAAGGGAAACACTGCAATATGGTCAATGGTATTTGGTTTGCAGTTTTAAATATAATCTCATTTCCACAGAGGTTTTTTTTGCTCTGTACCTTCAGTCATGGTTCACTGACTTTGAATGTTTTTCATAGTTTACCTGTTTAAATATTGCCATTTAGATTCAATATTTGTATTATACTATCAAAACTACAAAAAGGCGAGACATATCTCTGTGTCAACAGTTTATTTATGCAACATCTAATGACCTGAATTGGAGTATACATTAATGATGCCATCTGAAACTACTTGTTATATTTCTAGCTTGCAAGACATTTCTAAAGCATCATAGGACCTTACTAATTGGCATGTCCCCCTCTCATGTACATGTAATAAATGGTTTGATATCTCAAAAATAGTTAAGACACCTACCGGAGTACCCCTAAAGCATAAATATTATTAGGTGTCATATGGTGTGGACTTTCTAGAGCACAAAGGTTCTGAACTAGACAGACATGCCCTGCTCCCTTCATTTCAATAGTTGTGAACTATCTTGTCAACTGTTCTAATCCCTTTAAAACTTTAAACTGTATAAAATGTTATTCTGTTTCTGTCTTGCTAGAACAGAAAAAGGACGAATTGACTCCTTTTTCAACAGTGTAGCTTTTTCGGTTTAATCTATTATTTAAGATAGACAGAAACTGTTAACAGCAAGATTAATTGATTGGTGTTTAATGCCACTTTCAACACTATTGTGCTATTTCGTGGCTGGGAATGTTAATTGGTGGATGAAGCCACTGCTTTTGGTAGGAAAACTGACAATCCTAGTCAATTAAGATGGAGGGCAGCTGCCATGTGGGGGTTTCAAACTCCCAACCTCAGCGTTGACAGGCTAATGAGTTAACTGCAAGAATGATCATGATACAAGTTATTCCAAAGTGCCAGTATGTTGACATTTTGATTTGATTCCATATGGGAGTTATTTGCACTCTTAAATGAGATTTTCTTTTCTTTTTTTTTTATTGTTTCTGATGTTTTTTTTTAAAACTTAATAGTTTGAGAAGGGGTCATGTTGATAGGCAACATACATGTTAATGGGAACAGATTTTTTCCTCACCAGATTTAAACATTAATTTCAATTTAGCATATTTTTTTACCAGATAAAGGTTTAGGCTACTTGAAGCCTCTAGATATTGTATGACAAAACAATATGTATATCTGCCAGGTTGCACAGTGATATAAGTGAATGTGTGAATACTTAGTTATCTGCTGATTACATAGTGAAATCAGTGAATGTTGCACATCATCATCATTTAGGTTCTACATACATACAATGCTGCTACATAATAAGATTTTATCATTGTAGTATATGACTGTAAAAGTTATCGAGACTGTGTTAACTGTATATATAGACATAGCCAGGGGTATAAGTGTAAGTGGTGTGGAGGAGGAAATAATGGAAATGGAAATAATGGAAAAGGAGGAAATTGTCAGTTCTCAAGCGATGGAAGTGGGTGTCCTACAAGCTCATGTCAACCAATTGATGTTGAACTGCTTAGTGTAAGTTATTTTTATGCCCCACTTAGGGGCATTATGTTTTTCGGTCTGTGTGTCCCTTCGTTCGTCCGTCCCTTCAGTTGTCCGTCCGTACGTTCTTCTGTCTGTTCATCTGTCTGTCCCACTTCAGGTTTAAGTTTTTGGTCAATATAAAAAAGAAGATGTGGTATGATTGCCAATGAGACAACTCTTCACCAGAGACCAAATGACACAGACATTAACAACTATAGGTCACTGTATATGTAACACAGTAACAAACGACAACCACTGAATTACAGGCTCCTGACTTGGGACAGGCACATACATACAGAATGTGGCGGGGTTAAACATGTTAGCGGGATCCCAACCCTCCCCTAACCTGGGACATTGGTGTAACAGTACAGCATCAGAACGAACTATAATAAAATGCTCCGCTGGGAGTAGCTTGATACGACCACAGAGGTCGAAACCCTGAACAGTTGGGGCAAGTATGGACAAAACATTCAAGTTTGATACAGCTCTGAATTTGGATTGTGATTAAATATTTGACACATCATAGGTTTCTGACACAGAATGAATGTGGTCTAAGAACTTAAAATTTTTTAATTTACCTATTATGGTCCAATATCCAAAATCTAAATACATGGTTAGATTCAGCATATCAAAGAATCCAAAGAATTCAATTTTTGATGAAATCAAACAAAGTTTAATTTTGGACCCTTTTGACCTCAATGTGGACCAATTTGATAACGGGGCACAAAAATCAAAATACATGGTTAGATTCAGCATATCAAAGAACCCCATATATTCAATTTTTGTTGAAATCAAACAAAGTTTAATTTTGGACCCCAACTTGGACCAACTTGAAAACTGGGCCCATAATCAAAAATCTAAACACATGTTTAGATTCAGCATATCAAAGAACCCCAAGAATTCAATTTTTGTTAAAATCAAACTTAGTTTAATTTTGGACCCTTTGGACCTTAATGTAGACCAATTTAAAAAACGGGACCCAAAATTTAAAATCTAAATACACGGTTAGATTTGGCATATCAAAGAACCCCAATAATTCAATTTTTGATGAAATAAAACAAAGTTTAATTTTGGACCCTTTTGACCTCAATATAAACCAATTTGATAGCGGGGCCCACAAATAAAAAATCTAAATACATGGTTAGATTCAGCATATCAAAGAACCCCATATATTCAATTTTTGTTGAAATCAAACAAAGTTTAATTTTGGACCCCAACTTGGACCAACTTGAAAACTGGACCCAAAATTAAAAATCTAAATACACGGTTAGATTTGGCATATCAAAGAACCCTAATAATTCATTTTTGTCGAGCCTTCGACTTTAGTCGAAAAAGCGAGACATAGCGATCGTACATTCCGTCGGCGTCGTCGTTGTCGTTGGCAGCGTCCGCAAATATTCACTCTGTGGTTAAAGTTTTTGAAATTTTAATAACTTTCTTAATCTATCCTGGATTTGTACCAAACTTGGACAGAAGCTTGTTTATGATCATCAGATAGTATCCAGAAGTAAATTTTGTAAAAATAAAATTCCTGTTTTTCCGTATTTTACTTGTAAATGGACTTAGTTTTTTTGCCAGGAAACATAACATTCAATTTGTGGTTAAAGTTTTTAAAATTTTAATAACTTTCTTAATCTATCCTGGATTTGTACCAAACTTGGACAGAAGCTTGTTTATGATCATAAGATAGTATCCAGAAGTAAATTTTGTAAAAATAAAATTCCTGTTTTTCCGTATTTTACTTGTAAATGGACTTAGTTTTTCTGCTAGGAAACATTACATTCACTCTGTGGTTAAAGTTTTTAAAATTTTAATAACTTTCTTAAACTATCCTAGATTTGTACCAAACTTGGACAGAAGCTTGTTTATGATCATAAGATAGTATCCAGAAGTAAATTTTGTAAAAATAAAATTCCTGTTTTTCCGTATTTTAGTTGTAAATGGACTTAGTTTTTCTGCTAGGAAACATTACATTCACTCTGTGGTTAAAGTTTTTAAAATTTTAATAACTTTCTTAAACTATCCTAGATTTGTACCAAACTTGGACAGAAGCTTGTTTATGATCATAAGATAGTATCCAGAAGTAAATTTGTTAAAAAAAAATTTCATTTTTTCAGTATTTTACTTATAAATGGACTTAGTTTTTCTGCCAGGAAACAATACATTCACTCTGTGGTTAAAGTTTTTAAAATTTTAATAACTTTCTTAAACTATCTTGGATTTGTACCAAACTTGGAGAGAAGCTTGTTTATGATCAAAAGTTAGTATCTAGAAGGAAATTTTGTTAAAATTTTGTACCTGTTTATCCGTATTTTACTTATAAATGGACTTAGTTTTTCTTCCAGTTAACATTAAATACAGTCTGCAGTTAAAGTTTTTAAAACATTTATTAGATTCATAAACTATCCTAGATTTATACCAAATTTTGACAGAAGCTTCTTACAATCAAAAGATAGTATCTAAAGGAATATTTTTATTGATTTTTTTCCTCATTTTTGTTGAGCCTGCGATTAACAGCAAAAGTAGGCAAGACACTGGGTTCCGCGGAACCCTTACGAATTTTTTGATGAAATAAAACAAAGTTTAATTTTGGACCCTTTTGACCTCAATATGAACCAATTTGATAGCGGGGCCCACAAATAAAAAATCTAAATACATGGTTAGATTCAGCATATCAAAGAACCCCATATATTCAATTTTTGTTGAAATCAAACAAAGTTTAATTTTGGACCCCAATTTGGACCAACTTGAAAACTGGGCCCAAAATCAAAAATCTAAATACATGTTTAGATTCAGCATATCAAAGAACCCCATATATTAATTTTTTTTTTAAATCAAACTAAGTTTAATTTTGGACCCTTTGGACCTTAATGTAGACCAATTTGAAAACTGGACCCAAAATTAAAAATCTAAATACACGGTCAGATTTGGCATAACAAATAAATAAATGTGGTCAAAGATTTTACAATCTAATATGCCATACTGTGCAATTAAAGATTACTTCTTGAAATTTTTCAATATTTGAAATTTAAAAAAAAATAATATTTGAAGAATAATTCTTTTTAATTTCTGAAATCTGAAATGAGAAAAAATTGACCCCCACAATTTCTTTTTACCCCTCCCCCCCCTTTTTCCCCCAAAAAATTCTTTCCCTCAAGATATGGTCATAATCTCAATTCAAATTTCCAATGGAATTTGCAACCATAATTACCCATTTAAATTTACCATAGTGCTAACTTAATCTATTTTATAATAGAATTTAAAATATGGTGTCAAATCTTGCATATGGATTTTTTTGTAAAAAAAAAAAAGATGCAACATTGCAGATATTTTTACTGGTCTTCCTTTATAAATATGCATTTCTTTAGTTAAACATAATTTAAAAGTAGTGTAAGGGAAGTAATCAAAATGTTGTATGTGGATTACCTCCCTTACACTGTTTTAAATTGTCTTAATTGTTCATTAACCATTACTTTATACATAATTTTAAAGCAGTGTAAGGGAGGTAATTCAAATGATGTATTTGATTTATCTCCCTTACACTGCTTTAAATTATGTTTTGTACTTAAGTATTTGTCCATATAAAAATGCTTGTTTTTTGCCCCTTTTTTGGCCCCTAATTCCTAAAATTTTGAGGCAATTACCCCCATAATCAATCCCAGCATTCCCTTTGTGATATGGAACTTTGTGGTACAATGTCAGAGAGATCCATACACTAACACACAAGTTATGTCTGGAAGTTACAAAAATGCTTATTTTTGGCCCCTTTTTGGCCCCTAATTCCTTAACTGTTGGTACCATAACCCCCAAAATCAATCCCAACCTTCCTTTTGTGGTATTGAACCTTATGGTAAAATTTCATAGAGATCCATTCACTTAAACTAAAGTTAGAGTGCGAAAACCAATGTGTCTTCGGACGACGCCAACGTCATACCAATATATGATCGCAAAATTTTTTTGCGACGTATAAAAATCAGTTGAAAAAGGCTTAACTCATCAGATGGATGCAAAAAGAAATATCTATCAAAAACACAGAGTGGATGTGGCTGGGTACTTGTACATCCCAACAACAAAAAGACACTAAGTACAGATCTGAGAGTACTCACAGTTACTGACAGCTAAGCTAGTTCAAAGCCACTAACAACTTACAAAAAAAAACATGCATCTAAGACTAAATTAATCAATCAGTACACATTCAACATCCAATGGATTTAGTGTAAAGACGTCATAAACAGTCAGAGAAAACATGACCTTGTGCAATGCCAAGATACAGGTACCGACAGGTTGTAGATCATGAAAGTGAATATTTATGTAACTATAATATTTAGTTTGCTTTTAATTTACTGATAACAAAATGCTTTTAATTTACTGATAACAAAATCAATATTGATATCAATAAAAACAATATTCAAAGATCTAATTAGAGTGTTGAATTGGTAACCTTTTAGAATAAGTTTATTTAGAGGATGGATAAGTTTACCAGGATCGTTTTTAAATTTCCGGGCACAGTAAACAACATCTCCCCAAAAATGAGGATCTGCTATCCCGTTTGAAATAAGTTTTCTACAGATACAACTAAACTTCAAAACCAAATCTTTATATCTATGGAAGAATTTAGTAATGGTTTTAAGTAATTTGTGGTAACGAAATCCCTGACTTAATAATTTACCAGTAATGCATAGATTACGTTCATTAAAGTCAAAAAGGTCACAACAGACACGGGCATAGCGAACGAGTTGTGAAATATAAACACCGTAAGATGGTGCCAAAGGAACATCACCATCCAAAAAAGAAAAATTAACAATAGGGAACAAAAAATCATCCCTTTTGTTGTAAATTTTAGTGTTGAGTTTCCCGTGTGAAACTGAAATCTAGGAAAGGACAATTATTACCGTTTACATTTATTTTATTTGAAGTAAGTTCCTTTGGGTAAATTTTGGCAGCATATTTTGAAAATTCTTGATTATTTAACGAAAAAATATCATAAAGAT